GGTTTTGAAATGTTGAGGTTGAGAAATTTGGGTTTTGAAATCATTCGGGTTATGAAACGTTGAGGTTTAGAAATCTGGGTTTGGAAATCGTTTGGGTTTTGAAATGTTGAGGTTTAGAAATTCGGGTTTCGGAAAATCAGCTGTTGAAAATTGGATTTTGAAATTCGGATTCTGAAATTTGGATTTTGAAGTTTTGAAACCCTTTTTTTTTAATTATTATTAGATATATTTTTTAATGTTGGTTTGTTTCGGCGCCTTTGTCCTCATTTATGTCCTGCTTTGCTCCGTGTTTGAGGTCGGCGCTGACATCTGTGGGTTCTTTGAGAACACGACGGAGGAGCTGTGCAGGCGCTGGATGCAGGTGGGAGCATTTTACCCCTTTTCCAGGAACCACAACACCGAGCTCTGCTCCGTAAGTGCCCCCAAAGCCCCCAATTTCCATCCTTGCATCTCAGTGCTGTGAATGAAATCGTGAAATTAAATTCCTACCACTGGCCGGTGAAACCGATTTGAAATTGGGGCAACTTTCAGTTTTCTCCCCACTGAAATTTTCTGTTTTCTCTCATCGGAATTTGCCATTTTCTATCGAAATTTCCATTTCTCCCTTTAGAAAATGCCATTTTCTCCTCTTTGGAAATTTCTTTCTTATCCCTCTTTAGAAATTTCCATTTTCTCTCTTTCAAAATCTCCATGTTTTTTTTTTCCCTCCAATGAAATTCCCACTTCCTCTCTGTCAAGAATTTCCACTTTCTCCCCGTTGAAATTTCCATTCCTTCAGAAACTCAGACATTTCTCTTTAGCAATTCCTATTTAGGAACCCTTTTCCCCCCGAACATTTGGTGTTAATTCCATGACTTTAATCATCCCACAGCTGAACTACGTTCAACACCAAACTCATCCTCCATCCTTTCCAATCCCCAACGTTTCACCCCAAATCTTCCTTTCCACATTTCAAGCCGTGCTCTTTGCCCCCAGTTTGTACCCCAAAAAAAAGCCCTAAAAATCCCCAATTCTCTCTCTTTCCAGCCCCAGGACCCAGCCTACTTCGGCGCTGACTCCATTTTGGTGACATCCTCCATCCATTACCTGAACATCCGCTACACGCTGCTGCCCTACCTCTACACCCTCTTCTACAAAGCTCACACACAGGGGGACACGGTGGCGCGGCCCCTCATGCACGAGTCAGTCCCAAATCCTCCCCTCCCCTTCTTTTCTTCATGGAACCCTAGAATCCTAGAATCACAAGGTTGCAAACGACCCATAACTCATCCGGTCCAAGCATCTCCTCCCCACCGTTGCCCCCACAGCACCAAATCACAGCTTGCAGCTCCTCGTCCCGGCGCCTCTTGAGCGCTGCCAGGGACGGCGCCTCCCCCACCTCCCTGGGCAGCCATGGCAGCGCCTGAGCACTGAGAGAAAAAGTGCTTCTTCATGTCCAACCTGAACCTCCTCTGGTACAACTTGTGGCTATGAGATCCCATTAGGATCCCACTGAGATCCCACTGAGATCCCATTGAAATCCCATTAGGATCCCACTGAAATC